GGTTTTATCTCGTCCAAGATGGCCACTAAGCTGTCCACCGTGTAGATCCCTGAAGAACTTCTCGCATAAAGACAAGTTCAAGATGCAAAGTTGGTTTTCTCAGAGGAGGTAGCCATTTTGGATATAGAAATCATTACTAGGGTTGCCTTGACTGCACTAGGCCTATATATCTTTGAAGTTTGTCTCATCCTCATAAAGTTCTTTAAGGACTTCGAATATGACAATTTATTGGGCAAGTGTGACAAATAAAGTAGCTCTCTTTCTTAGGGCATCCGCCACTAGGTTGAGGGTGCCCGACTTATGCTTGATTTCTATAGGAAACTTACCTAGCATGCGTGCATCATATTGATTGTTTTCTAGCGATTGGTACATTTCGGTGATTGATGGTCATAGAATAGTATGAACTCCTTTTGTATTAGGTAATGTTCCTACTATCTCAAGGCCCAAATTATTGCTCTTGATCATAGGGTACTCCACTTTTATCTTGCTTCACTTAACTTTTTATAGAAAAAGCAATCGGCCCCTTTTGGTGATAGGACAGCTCCAACGCCACTAGCGGTGGTACTCGACTTCAAAGACTTTATCAAAGTCTAGCAGGGCTAGAACTGGTGTCGAACATAGTTTTTCCTTGATTATGGAAAAGTAGTTGCTTTGGTCGAGTCCCTATTGGAATCTACCTTTTTTGAGACAGTCACTGATTCGAGCGGTGATGACGAAATCCCAAATGAATCATCGATAAAAATTGACCAACAAAACTACTACATTGGATATGGTCTTCAGAGTGGCCAATTCCGAATGGTCTGTATTTTCTCATCGTCCTCTTTTATTCCCTTCTCTCCAATAATAAAACCAAGGAAAATGAGTTTATAGGTGCAGAAATGCATTTTTTTAGATTGACATGCATTTTAAATATCAAATATTAGATAAACATCTCATTTTTAATATAAAAGATCTAAAATATAATTAGGATAATCATTGAGTTCTAACAGAATGCTTAGGTATTATCTTTATAAAAAGTTATATTATTAAACCTAAATTAAATTATTTCATTACTAAACCTAAATTAAATTATAATAAAAAAAATTGAAGTAAGGAAATTACTTCAAAAACAAGAACTTTTAAAAAGGTTAATTCGATATTGATATCGATATATTTTTTTATTAAAATTTTATGATATTTTCAAATTTAAATTTTATTCAAAAATAAAAACATTATCGTTTTCTCAAAACCACATAAAACCGTATTATATCGACATAAAAAAAGAATAAACAAACACTGAATTTGATACGTATCTCGATGCATTGTACGAGCACCCTTCTAGTACTTTTTAACACGCCCCTTAATTATAGCACACTCGTGTACTCAAATGTTCTTTTGCCAAAAACTGAATGTGTATTTAAGATAAGTTAGACTCTTTGATCCCGTCCTTGTGTCTTTGTTGGGTATCCATTTGAAAGAAAGGTGGCATTTATATCATTTAGAGGAGGTAAATCTTTATTGCAAAAGATGTAATTTTTTGTGAATCTCAGTTTCCATTTGCTACTACTACTTCGTTTCCTCTTCACGGTAATGCATACAATAATCCGAAGTATTATGAGCATCCTTAGTCATATATGACGACACTTATTTAGCAAGTGGGAGTGTTCATGAGTTGTATAGGAACATTAAATTATGGAGGCAAGAGTACCCAATTCAACTATAACGAGCCGCAATGAGGCAACTATCCAACACCGATCGAAAGTAACAATATTCCTAATGGAGAAGGGGGGTTCAGGTCATGGTGTTAAATCCTGTTGTTGGCAAAATGGATATGAATGAGATGAGTCGAGGATATCAGATGGAAACCTTCAAGTAAACTCAAATATTTTATTAATTACTAACCCGTTCAAGTTGTAAACCCCATGGCTGCACCCAAATCTACTCTATCAAAGTCATCAGGTACTCAATTTCCAATAGCTTATTATGTAAACTGTGACAAGTCTTTCATGAGATACAAACAAATTTTAGCAAGAATATAGAGACTGTATTTTCAAGAAGCTGTTAAGGACCCCGTTGGCCTAAGGCAATTCAAGGAGAGATAGATGTTATCGAACAAGATAGAACATGGACAAATTTAGGACTTATTGTACCTAGAAAGAAGTATGGATCAAATGGTACAATATAGACTTAAAGGGTACTTGCTAGTATATGGTAATCGACAAGCTTCAATCATAGATTTTAATGAAACATTTTCTTACATTGTTAAAATGGTGAAAGTTCGAACGTTCTTAGCGATTACAGTAGTGCATAAATGAGAATTATATCAAATGGATGTCCATAATACATTCCTTCATGGTAATCTTAATGAAGAAGTCTGTATGCTATACATGTACCACGAGGTCTAGATTCTCCAACATGTGGTAAGGTACGTCGGTTATGGGAGTTGTTGTATGGGCTCAAACAAGCAACTTAGGATTAGTTTTCAAAAGTATTCAAAAGGGGGTGTTGATTTGTGAGGTTATGGGATCTCCAGTGCAAAGGAAAATAAAACCGTAACCCTCCAAGGACCCATACGAACTAGAATAAATCCGGTGTTTCAAAATTATACCTCATAGTTAGAGGGATTTTAAATCACATCAACAAACAAGATTGATGCCTCCAAGGTATCTACACGAACAATCTGAATCCTTTGTCTTCTTTTGATGCTAGTCATGGTTTCAAAACTTAGAAAAAATGGAGCATATGATTATAGGTGATTGAGAGAAGTTGCAAGACCATTTATAAAATGTCATACGTCTTATGGTTATGAGAAGTATGACATAAAACCACCACCATATCTACACCTTAGTTGACTGTAAGAGTTGCCATACACCACCACTCTCCTTTTAAGACCATCCCTAGTCAACCTAGTTTATGTCTAACATAAATAAAATCTGATTTTTATTTAATCAGATTCAATCAATACAAATCAGATATGTTCAAAGTGTTTGACCCAATGAATTCTCGACATCTTGGTAATAAATATTAATATCATATATATAGTTATAAATGATGAATGATATCTAACAATACATCATAGTCACCCAAATGAAAAGAATCTATATGATACAACAAATTATTGGTTTGTAGTAAATTTTATTTTACACATTTGATTCTTTTGGCCTTGATATCTAGATTGAATACGACACATTGAATGTATCATTCTCGTTATGTCAAATCTCTAGTTTATTGATTCCATAATATAGTGATAAAACAGATCATGATATCTCATATCAATTATCTAAGAATGCATGCATTCTTGGTATATATATTTATCAAAGGGCCACAGACATCACTTCCATCATAAAAGAGAGACAAATCCTATCTTGATACATGTTAGTTCTATCATATGATATATAACATACTTAACTATCATTCTGTCACCCAGTTACAGAATGAATAAATTTCTAAACACGTCACTCACAAAGCAAACTCCATGTTCCCAAGTCAGAGAATTACATACACATTGACCACATGAGAAACACTTACGACACTCACATTACATCCAATGCAGTGTTCTCATAACGAGTCACCTCTAGTGCACAAAATCTCCATCTTGTACCTATATGCGGATTCCATATCTCTATACGAATCCCTACATATGCTAGTCATTATCATATTACCTCAACCTTAACATGGAAATGATATTTAACTACTGACATTTAGCATACATTATTCTAAGATTATTTATTATGAATAATTAAAGTATAGAATATAATATAGACATGATAAAATGGGCAATGACCTTTTTTTATTTATTTATTAGTTTCATGAAACAAAATTTAAAATTACAATCATCCTATGATTGGTTTTTAGACATTCACTAACATGATTTACATGTAATTATGTGTGTATAGATGATCTGGTTATTACAAAAAAACAGATTCAAGAAAACAATCCAGTGAACGGTTTCACATGGAAGACTTCAGTTGAGTTAGATATCTTTTTAGGCACTAAGGTTGGTTGGGAAAATGATGGATATTTCTCTTATATTTAAAAACCAAGTATGCCTTACAGATATAGACGACTTGTTGGATGGGATATAAATGAACTGGGATTGCTTGGAAGTAGTCCAATTTTCACACAAATAGAACTAAACCATCATCTTGCCGGTATAAGTGGAAAGCCATATGAACATCAAGAGGTATAGGTGACTCATTGATTGCTTATTATTTATCCCCAAGACTAAGCTATTTGGTTCAGATATTGGCACAATTTATGATTGGAACGTAGCAACGAGAGTTTTACAGTATTTGAAAGGATGTCATTATTCTGTTGCACAGAGAGAGTGATTTTCAGCTATATGCTTTCTTTGACGGTGATCAAGTGGGTTGCCCTATGACTCGTTGTTCCTTAACACATAATTTTGTTACGTTAGGCGTGTCTCCTATTTCTTGGAAAACAAAAAAACAGTTGATGGTTTCTTGTTCTTTTATAAAGTTCGAGTATACCCGTTTATAGAGACCACCACATGTAAGTTAAAGTAATTAACACGTTATTTCACGTTTGTTTTGTTATAACCAATCTTTCCTTTACATTAGGACCAATCCATTTATATCATATGTGAAGGAAACACATCGAGATGGATTATCATTTTACTCTTGTTATTGTGCAAGATGGTACGTTCATTAAGGCATCACTTCACATGAGTGATCAATTGCTAGATATACTAACCAAGGCCTTTGGAAGATCTCAATTTTCTTTACTCTTTCACAAGATCGGGCATTTCTGATGTCCATGCTCCAACTTAAGAGGGAGTATTAGCTATTTATATTTGCTTTGAATATTAGGTATTTATTTGTTGCATCTCCTTTTGTTTATTTTCTTTTCTTGTTTATGTATTTTTTCTCGTGTGAAAGAAAAGGAACAATTGTATTCTCAATATATACCAAGTGAAATGCAAGAAAATATTCTCCTGCTAATCTCTTTACAATCTTTTGTTAGTATCAATGATTTAATTCGAGGTAAATCTTTTATATCAGCGGGTTTTGTCATTTGCCGACCAACTAGACCAATTCAAAGAATACATTGGGAAGCTCAAGGATATAGTTGGAGAAGAAAGAACACAATACATATTAGCGAATAGCTTATACTTGGTCGTCGCAGGTACCGATGATCTTGCAAATACTTATTTTGGTGTCGGCATAAGGAGATTACAATATGATATCTCGTCCTACAGTAATCTCTTGGTATCATTAGCTTCCAACTTTATACAGGTATATTTTTTTAGTTTACGTGATTTATGTTTTTGCTCACATATGTTTCAATTGTATGCCCATTGTCTACTGATATTTAATGTGGCCTTTTTGAGGTTTTATAGGACCAAAGGCCACACCGTAAAATATGCTCCCTGGACTATTAAATAAGTTTTCCTTTTGAAGTCATTTTCTGATGTATACATTACAACAAAATCAGTTTTATATGATATATAAATATATATATATATATATATGTATGTCTATATGTCATAATATACCGTTTATGCGACTTACTAGTTAATATTATTGGACCAGACATGTTATGTGTCATAGGCGGTGTTATAATAAGTGGAAATGTTGCTTTTGGCCTTCCAAAAAAGTTTTGTACGACAATTTTTAATATACTATTAATCTTTTTATATGACATTATTTGAATGACTTATAAAAGCAGATGTTAATATTTTTAAATGACATAATAAGAAAAGTATCTTATAAAACAAATGTCCAATAAAAACATCGATCATAGGACATTTTTCAAAAACAGTATAATATAAAACTTTTTTTGTCTTACAAACCAGAACTCATATGATGCCACCTTTTATGAAATTTAGACATCTTTGACATTTTCTAAAGCCAATTTTCTTGTAGTGAGAGTTGTTATTAACACATTTGAATTACATTGAAGGATATATATAAACTTGGAGCTAGAAGAATAGGGGTCTTCAGTGCACCCCCAATAGGGTGCTTGCCATCACAAAGAACTCTTAGTGGCAATGGACATAAACATACGTGTGCAAAAAAGTACAACAAAGCAGCACAATTATACAACAAGAAGTTGCAACTAGAGCTTAAGCGTCTTAATAGTACTCTTGTTCAATCCAGGATCGTCAATGTTGACATATACAATCCCTTGCTTGATATCATTGAAAACCCTCAACAATATGGTACTTGATACTTTGAAATTTGATGGTCATAATCTTACTTTTTTTTTTGTTTAACTTTTGTTTATTACTCTAACAAGTTAACTATCTCATCTTCAGGACTAGAAGTTGTCGATAGAGGTTGTTGTGGCACAGGAACGATAGAGGTTGCCGTTTTATGTAACCAATTACTCCCAACATGTCTTGATACTTCAAAATACCTTTTCTGGGATAGTTACCACCCAACAGAGAAAGGATACAACATACTGATAAATCAAGTGTTACGAAAATACATTAGTGATTTCTTTTGATAAATATTCATACCATAAAGGTTTGTATGAGTTGTAACACTTGGTGCACAAGTTTGCTTCTTGATTTTTCGAAAGGAAGTGACTCATGAATGATGTTTTAAATACTTTTTGGATGATGCATAAGTCATCTAAACCCATTTTTGTACCCATCTTACATCAATAAGATATAGATTATCCTTGGCTCTTGATCGGTCAAATAAAAATCATCATAATTTATAGATTCTCTACTAGATATGGTGGCTTTTAGAAGTTAACATGGATAGTATTAAAGTTGGGTTACTATGTTGAATCTATGGTCTAATTTCTTAGTCGGGTATTCTCATTTGAGTTGTTGTCATTTGCAAGTTGAAATAATAATGTATAGCGGTTTTTGGTTTGTGTAATGCTCAAATCACCAGGATTGGTACGTGATCCTTCTACGCGATTTTGGGTCACCTAGCCCAGATTGCGTAGGATGGTGTTTTCAGGCAAAAAGGTTTTTGGTACACTTTCTATGATTCACTACAATCCAGAAGACTTTCATTGATGAACAGTTCTATCAGTAATCTGTCGGTCGATGTCTTGTTGGTAAAACTTTCACCAATGGATACCAGAAGGATGTCTCTAGTTGATTGTTGAATGTCCCTTTTAGCGATGGATCAACGACAACTCAGAGTTACCAAAGGAATTGCAATAAACATTTTTTTTCCCGATGGATTGTTCAGAGGAGTAATCATCGACGGATTTCTAAATCAAAACTAAAAAGTTAATATGATATTTTCTTACGATAAAATGAAATTACCAAGTTTGGATAAAATTTATGCATGTCAATAAACTTTTCTGTTGCAGATGACATGGCATATTAAAAGAAGACGAGTTCTCGTTGTTACCATAATGTACCAATTTTTTGTATGGGGATGTAACGTCAAGTGTATGGTGCACCCACTAGTACATATGGGTTAATCGAATCTGGTTGAATTAAATATAAGATTGTGCTTGAAAACGCGACCATATATGACCAGGTAGGGATATAATCCAAGCGCTAATGGCACTCGGTTGCTTAAACCGGGTGTATTTAGATAAACGTACGTATATGATTACTTCACTTATGGTACCCAGTTGACAATCCTACAAGTCTAATTAGATAAAAGTACCCAGTTTGTATGACAAATCTGATAATGAAGTAATCGTCCCTAATTTTTTTTTTTTGAAACAATAACCAACATATCATTAAAAGCTAGCAAGTAGCTAGCAAAAACATAACATCACAACAACCTGAAACAATCAATAGGATGGAACCTCCACAATAATGGATCTCTTACACTCCCGTTGCACCTAGCCAAAACCCAACTATAATACTTTCCACAGTTTGATCCATTATGGAATCCTTATAAGGGGGAAAATAACAAAAAATGCATCTATTTCTGAAACACCACAATATGTAGCATCCAATAAAAAAACATCGGTTCCAAAGCTGTCTTAACAGCTCCATGCTGGTTTGTAGATCTGACACTATCGATCATGTCCTCCATCGTCTTGTAAGCAGGAAAGAGGAAAGACCACCATCACTCCAAAAACCGAGTATCATACCCAATTTTTGTTACCTAAGCACTTTGTTTAAACCAAGTTTGTGAAACTTTATCATACAACCATTGGGAAGATATTTGTGTTATATCTAGGTATTTGAAAATTTGGATCTTACACCATTTGGTCCGGCATCATTAAAGGAGTAGTATTCTATGGGTACTACATGTAATTTAAAGCAAAAATAGCTATTTAATAACAAGGAGAGTTGAGTGTAATATACAAAACAGAAAGATATTTATCAAGTATGTACTTTGTTTATCGCATTGGTACTCCATCGTATATTTGTACATAAAATGTAGAATGTCATATCGACACTCTCAATCGGGCTTTTGTTGGTTACACTAGCGTCCATGTCAATGGTTGTGATTTGTCATATTGCATGCTCTTCTTTGGTCATAATATACCATGTAACAGATCTAAAAGAAACATTAACAATAGTGTTGTGTTACAAATTGATTAACTATAGAAACAAATGTCAATAGTGTACCAATGTAAAAAATTGCATACGTTTCCACATGTCCTTTTTGATAATGGAACTCTCCATAGTCTTGCCTCTAACATCTTTGGGTCGAGAATGTACCCTATGCGACGGTGAGGGCTAATAAGAAATAGTAATGTTTGAAATAATAGCAATAAAACAATTAGTATAACCAGAAAAACCCATAAAAGATAGTTGGACACGGTACCTCTAATATTATGGGTGAGCCAAAACGATTGTGCTTTCTTTAAGCTGTAGCCATGTAGTTTTCGATAAAAGCACCGTCTCTAGTTCATTCACCATTTTAAATCGACAGAACCAACTTAGCTTGACTAAAATACACAAATAGGTTGTTTGTTTACTTTTTAATAGTTTCATTAAGAGGAAGCTTTTGAATCGCTAAAAGGTGAATCTTGTTTGAAAAAAAAAATGTCTCATAATAGTTCTAAAATCCCCTTAATGATTTTGTATCTTGGGCTTTTCTGAACCATTCACCGCCCTAATTTCATTCTGAACAATTACAAAACAATCATATTTTATTTTACACTATATCATAAGAGTCTCTTAATCATTTTAACTGCTTAATAATTTTGATTCAAACTATTTAGCAACCACGAAACAACCAGTTAATAAGATTCTCTTGTTTTTGATTTATCACATTTACGTTCAGGACCCAATCTTGTACATTAAGTGATGCATCAAATGATATGCCAATGACAATTGAATAACACAGTTTGACGATAAAATATTTAATTTCAACCAACGCTAGTTATCACTTGGTATGAACATATTGTGAATAATTTTTTAGAAATATTAATATAATTTGGGAACATGTACGCTCTAAATCTACGATATCTGGTATAGTTTGTGAATATATTGTGAAAAGCTACTAAAACAACAAAAGTAAATCTAAACCTACCACTTGTGAACAACCTAGTATGAAATTTTCTTAAGGTTGTTTTCATTGCATTTATAATGTGTTCACCTTATGTATATATTTCATTGTGCATGTGTATGTGTGTATATTACAAGAGAGAAGATACATATATACATACATATATATATACATATATATATACATATATATATATAAGTGGAGGTTCAAACGAGAACACTTTTATTTTATGAAAACGGAAGAATACCTTTATCACATGTGATTATGTGAAAGGACTTGGTGGTATGCTGACGGCATGTCTTGTGATCTAGGTCGCGCCAAAGATTTTTTGTATCTCTGATTTAGTATCACATTATTGAATATAGTATCACATCAAGGGCGCCCTTATCACGTGTAATAATACACAGGCGACTTGGCCCGCAAACTCAGTCGCGCCATATCTTTGATTTAGTATATCATGTGTATCATATGTGATTAAATACAATATCACATGTGATTAAATGTGTTGTCATGTTCTAGCAAAAATTTAGGTGTTTTCATTCGAACCTTATATATATGTACGAGCCTAATCAAATGAGAACTCAGTAATTTGTGATAACTGAATCACCAATTTAAGATAATTGTGTTATTTATTTAATAAATAGGAAAAGATAATTTAGTAATAAAAAGACAACTCATAAATGTGTTTCATTAATTTATTCTCTCCGAAACTCAAAACCCCCATAAATAGGAAATTCATAACTCTCCACAACCTGTTATCTTTGAGTCTTTAATGCCAGTAACACAAACTATATTTTTGTTGTTTCATTTGAATCACATTCAACGTTTTCGTTGTTTATAGTGTATCACATTGTATATCGTAGGTATCACAACGTGTATACACCGGGTATCATAGTGGACATCAGTAGGTATCGGTGGTATATAGAGAGAATAGCCAATTAGCCATAATTAATGTAATACAACGTGTATACAATGAGTATCATAGTGAAATATTCACGCTAGAAGGGAGAGGAGACATGAGAAATAAGATTTCTAAAATACCTAAAATATCATTATTTAAAATTTTAAGTCAAAATTACCAAATTATTACCTAATTTAAACTCTGTTTAATTTGTTATTGAGATTTGACCTCACGGATCTTAAAAAATACTGAGTTCTCTCTTGATTGACCATATATATATATATATATATATATATAGAGAGAGAGAGAGAGAGAGAGAGAGATAGAGAGTTTGTTTCAAATACAACCTGTTGCATTTGTACAACCAATGCAACCAAATATATTGAAATATTTATGAAAATGATGAGAGTTCATTTATTATGATTTGAATATTTGTTTGTGTATATATGGTTACATGCGTATTTATTATTGTTGTTGCTATCATTTTACACAATGTATTATATATTCAATTAAAGGGTTTAAATATTGAATTGAGAGAAAGCTAACCATATGCTCTTATCCCATTCTCATTGAGGCGACGTATATAATTGCTAGGATATGATAATTAAAGACACGTAATTCGAAAAATGTGGTTTAGATTCATAGTACACAAGTAATAGATTAAAAGAGTCAAAGAATGAACGAGTATGCCGTCAAATGAACCCTAATTTGGTGCAAGGATTTTGAAGTTTGGAAACGCTTTTAACCCAAAACGGAAAATAAAATTACGAGTTCCTAACCAACAATCCTACAACAAGAAGTATCTCCAACAATGTAAAAACATACGGGGTGTCGTTATTACTTACAATAAAAGATTTAGGGTTCATAAAAAAATAACATCCAACGCTAAATGTAAAATAGAAGTATAATGTTAAACGGGTTTAGCATACTAAACACAATAATGTTTTACTCGAGCCAACTGTATATAATATATATTTCTAGGCTTAATTGGAAGAAAAATGAATGAAAAATACAATTATTCTAGCTTTGGTGGGTTGAATGCTCAACTACATAACAGTTGAACACATAATTCATACCTATAGAACACATCACAAATAATTGCATTAAATTGTCCAAAGAGTAAATTACAAATTTGGTCCTTGAGGTTTGTCATTTAGAATTGCTTCTTTATCTTTATTAATTACAAAAGAACCCTTTATTTCTATAATTTATATTAGATTTGGTCCTTCACACTAACGTCCATCTATTAATTCGGTAATGTAGGAAGACAAAATGGTCATTTTAAGCATTTGTTAAATTATTTTAATATTTTTAATCATTTAAGTTGATTTCCTTTCTTTATAAGATTTTTTTTAAATAATTTTTGTAATCATTTTAAGAATCTCCAGTTACCAGCAACATCTTCGGCGATCGACTGATGACTAGCACCATCCCAGCAATGCTCCCGTTACCCTCTTCCCCCTTGCAACGACGACAGAGAGAACAAACATATAAACATAAACATAAACCTAATATATGAATTGATTATGAACATACAGAGTAGAACACCGTAGTCGTGATGCATCAAGATTAACATCAATATCAAGAACACATAAACACAAATCACAATTGTGTACAATTTCACACCAAAAATTTGTGATACAAACCTGAAAATTATAAATCATGTGTACATATTCAAATTCTGAATCATGCCCTAAACCCTAAACCCTATTTGCTTCTCCCCTACAAAAAACGATGTTGCATCCATAATCCTACCTATGTCATTGTTCCTGCGTACAACTTCAGTCTTCCTTCGTCCCAATTGCCAACTGCTTTCACCGTCCTTATTGTTGCCTGTCTCCATCACCTCCTTGCGATGGTTCAAGCACCATCATATTCATCTCAAATTTTTTTAATAAGTTCAAAAGAAATTCTTTATTAAAATTAAACACATTAAGTGAAATAAAGGAGAAATGATGAAAATTGATTGAGAAGGAGAGGTGGTTGGATGAGAGTAAGATATTGTGTATTTGATGGCCAAAACAGTTGGAAGGCACATCTACTTTGAACATGACTTCTAATTTAATTTTAAAGGGGAATATTTATTATACAAAAAAAGGTGTCAAAAAATAGGTAATATATACTTTACACACACTTGCATTTGTGTTGATGTGTCGGTTTTGGACTATTATTGCTATTATTATTAAGTACCAAAAATCATGATTTAATGTGGCTCATATATAATCGACTTATATCAATCCATTAAATTTAAATCTATTTTTCATTATATTTAATTATACCAATATTTTTTAATACTAGTTGATGTTGACAAAAAATAAAGAAGGAATTGAATGAAACTTTCTAATATTTTAAAAACACTTAACGGGCGTTATCAATCGATTAATCTTAACCGATCATTTCTTTCAATTGATCCTTACCAAATCAATCATCACTTGTTTTAATTTATGTATTTTAATAGGATTTAAATGTGTTAAATACCGTTAATGATATATTTTCATTTAAATGAATGCTAATTATGTAAAGTAGATGTAAATTTTGTAATAATGATTATTAAACATGTGAAATTGTATATAAATTCAACACTGTCAATTTTTAATATTGGGTAAAATAGACAAATTTAACAAATTCAGATGTTTACAAAAACAAACAGTCTTATTGATTCAGATTTCAGACATCGACATCACAAATTCAGACGTTTACAAAAACAAATAGTCCTTGGTTGTTTACCCATAACCAGGAAGAAAAAACTATGTTAAAAACTAGGGATCCTCAAAAACCCGACTAACTCGATCAACTCAACTCAATCCAACACGAAATAATTCAACCCGAAACAACTCGATGTCATGGTGATAGTATATATGTTGTATTTAAAATAAAGAATGCATTCAGACAATCAACATTGAAGATTAGTAAACATTTTACAAACTCTGCCATCTTAAATTTTTATCTTCTTTATTTTTAATTGTACCGTTAATTCCTGTATACGATAAATTTACCTAAACTAATAACTACGTTTTGTTACAGTCATCTTGTAAGAGAACTTCGTCAATGTGGAGTGTTGAAGTGTATGAAGTAACGTGCCAAACCTCTTTGGAACAGTTCTTTATTTGATTTCTTCTAAACCACCCCATGCCAACCTTGAGGGCATACAAAATGCCTTCATTCGAGTAGGGATTGAATCAGTTAGAATTGGTTTTGGTTCAAATCAAATATGCCATATAGAAAATTAAAACTACACGTGTTTGGAATAATAATCAACAAATATCATGTAGTATTCGTAGCCATTACAAGAGAGGTAGTGGAAGTCCAAACATCACCGTAAAGAATATCAAGAGGGTCTTTAGATTTTAAGGTGTTATGAAAGAATGGTAATTTATGGCTTTTGTTGCAATCACAAGAATTGCAATGAAAACCAACAGACTTAGGAATATTTAAATTGAAAGAGTTGCTAATATGACATTAAACATAATAAGATGGATGGCCTAACTAATGATGCCAATTGATTTAACCCCTTCATATAGGTACTAAATGGATTGTAAAAGGAATGCAACAATCAAATCTAAAATGTATGATGATCAGGTTGATCCATATCACACCGGTAGTGGATGTCATTTAGACAGAGTGAACAGTGGGACGAGTGAGTTGCCATTCATAAATTCCCGATTTATTTGGACCTTGGAGAAGGGGTGCCTCGTGCAAAGATCCTTCACAAGATAAGAAGTAGGTGAGAATGTAATTAAAATATTATGATCTTGGCAAAATTTAGAGATGGAGATAATATTATGATAAATAGAAGGCACACATAATATGTGCTTAATATGAAGTTTAGAATTGGGAGTAAGAAGAGATGTTGAACCAATGTTTGAAATGGCTAGGCACGAACTATCACTAATAATTAGTTCCTCTCTATCATTGTAAAGGGGGTAAAGTGCAAGGTTGGCAAGATCACGAGTGACATGGTGTGTTGCACCACTGTCAAGAAGCCAACCATTGGATGACGTTTTTGAGGTAGCAGTGACATAGGCATGTGGGAAGGGGGTTTGTATCCTGTAGCATTAGTACTAGGTTAATTATAAGAAGAAAAGATTGGAGGATAACAAGTAGGTGATGATGGAATCGTAAGGAAAATCATTCAAAACAAAATTTCTAGGCATCGAGTGAGTAGAGGTTGGATAATATTACAAGAATAGTTACCGGCCTACCAGTTCCAGACGTTGATCATTTTTTTTGTAATGTTTTTTCCCTATTTTTCTAGCGAAATTTAAAAAAAAATACTATTAACAAACAATTAGGTATCAACTTACGAACCCTAGCAATAAACAATTAAGAAAAAGAACTAACAATTAGTCATCAACTAATAAATTCTTACCGTATCAATTAACAAGGTCAGATTCAAAGGAAAACCACAAAAAAAAAATGAAAAACTGTGGAATATCCTGATAACCGTTCATCTGGACAATATCCACATGTGCTTACAAGTAATTTGTAAGCAATTTGTACGGTATGCACATATAGATAACATGTACATAAAAACAAGAAACAACTTCAACTACATGTATGCACATGTGCATATCGTCCAAATAAATGGTTACTAGGGTGTTCCTCATACTTTCATTTTTTTTGGGAGATTTTCCTCCGAACCTTCCTCTAATTAACATTTAGTAAGAATCTAACAATTAGGCATCAACTAACTTAAACCCAACAATTAAAATAAATAAATTAAATCAACTAATAAACTCTAACCCTACCGGTTAACAGAAAAATAACGGTTAGGTATCAACTAGCAAACCCTAAAACTAGCCTTAACAATTAACATAAATTAACAATGAGGCATCAACTAACAAACCATAAACATAACCTTAACAATTAAAATGAAAAGTATTAGTAAGTAGACATTAACTAACAATTAACAATAATATTAACAGTTAGACATCAACTAACAAACATTAACTATTAACAGTTAGCAATTAACAATTAATAGAAAAACAAATGACATAAATCTAGTAAATGAAACTAGGCTAAAACTTTTTAGGGGGTCAAGACATTATATATAATTTGAAAACTCAAAATTTACAATAGAGTAAAGTACATTCTTGGTTCTTAACGTTTGTCATTTTTAATGGTTTTCGTCCATCAACTTTGTTTTAACAGACTTGTCCCTCACCTTTGATATCTCACAATGATTTTTTTCCCTCCTGCTAACGACCGTTAATTTTTTCCGTGAAGTCCAATTAAATAAGGGTATTTTGGTCATTTTACCTATTTTCATAATTTTTCTATTAAAAATTTGTCTTTTGTAATACACATTACGACGAATGTAATTTACTCTTTAAAACACCAAACCACCACCTTCGTCTTCAACGTTAGGGACCAAAAATGAAAACCAACCTCACTTAAAAACCATCGCCTCCAACTTCTCCGGTCACTCCAAATACACCAAAAACTCAAAACCATCGTCTTCTCCGGTCACGTCCATACCTCCGGCCTCCATACAACATAACACATATACATCAAAAAACAAAGCCAACTTCACACCTCAAAATCAAAATCAAACCCAAATACAAGCCTCAATATCAATATCAAAATCAAACCCAAATACAAACCTGAATATCAATGTCAAACCCAAACCCAAAACCAAATATCAAAATCAAAATCAAACTCCAGAAAAGTGAACTCCATTGATGGCAAAGGGAAAGGGATGGGGGTGGCGGTGGGGTTTCTTCATTTACAGAAAGAGAAAGAGATTGAGGGACAGGAACAAGATCTCTGGCGATTTTGGTCCATGTGTGACGTTCATAAGGGAGAGGGTGTTCATCGATATTCGTCGAGGGAACCAGATATCTATTTTGGTTTCATCATCCATGGAGCAGGTCTTGGTTATGAAAACACAAACATAGAGTCCAACTATGAACCTCTAATTGGTTGATGCCGATGTTTTGGTCTCCGACAGTTTGATCCCTGTGTGACTGTCTATATATATATATGGTATTTTTATGAAGTTCGATTTTGATCTTCTTGTTATGATGTTATACCTTTTCTGTATGGGGTTCTTGTTAGTAAAAAGTTTGTAGTGATATTTAATCAATTGTGAAGTTTTGAAAGTTGGGACCAATGTTTAGCCCCAATATGGTTGGATATATGTAAATTCTATGTTATATGTTATATGGATTTACGAGTTGTTACATATAGCACAAATCAAGTATCAAACCATACAAATCAATGTCAACCGTTCATCTAGTCTAATAAATATTTGGTTTCATAAATATATCGATTATTTCTTAATATAAAGCGGTAATCATAATTAATGAACTCTAATCATCTTCCACAGATATTTAAATCATAATAGATGAATATTTATAAGTTTTATAAAAATCTTAATTGATTGGTTTGTATGGCTTATAACACTTGTATGATTTGCATTTGATTTGTGTTCTCTCTCCATATATATATGGTTGAACTAAGAATACGTGTTTAACGAAGACATTTATAATTTACGATGGTGATAAGTAAACCGATTTATTCAATTTACTTGGAAATTCTTTATTAAAATTAACAGATTTGTGTTCGAATTTCAAACATATAAACATTTAATATTTTAAAGATAATGACTTGTATATATATAGATGGATTGGATAGCTGATCAACTCCCACTTCTGTTTCTTCATTTTCTTTTTCCTCATAATCTACTTAACGTACATGATGCAGCCTCTTATCTTTTCATACCCTTCTCCATCTTCGCTCACTATTTTCTTGGTCTCTCTCCTTTTGGTTGGTGATCATGGCAGCGCACGGATAACGCTGCCGGAAAATGTGACTGTGCCGGCTGTTATAGCGTTTGGGGACTCGATAGTAGATCAAGGCGCGAACAATAACTTAAACACTTTGGTTAAAGCCAATTTTGTTCCCTATGGAAAGGATTTCGTGGGCGGAAAACCAACCGGAAGATTTTCCAACAATAAGACGCCAGCGGACATGATCGGTAAAGCCTGTTTATTCAATTCATGACTTAATTGCATGGTTGCATTTATCTCTTTGATTTACTTGTTTTCTTTGCCATTCAGCCACAAAACTACATAAGTGATGGACAATTGCTTTTCTAAATCTCTTAGCCTTTTCTTTAAAAGTGCCTTTTTTAAGACAATTAATGAAACTAGATTTTTTTAAGGGTGACGAACCTGTGGGAAAGTTTAAAGTGCCTTCCCAACACATGTTTTGGCAACCACATTGACAACGATAACCATGTATATCGGATCGCATTTGTAAAAACCAAAACGTCCGATCAATATTAATAAAACAAGATCCGTAAAAGTGTAAATATAAACCGTTTGACATCTAGATATCCATCGTTGTTTTAACTTCTAAGTAATTTGTTCGATAAGATACAAACGTAAGCTACAGGCGTTAACGAAATTTTGTATCTCTTCGTTCTCGTAACATAATTCGGCATTATTTTTCTTAATTTATAAGTTTTGCTTCAGACAAGAGACTAGTAACGGGTCTCAAATTACACTTATTTCACTTCTACATTAATAAGTGGTTCAATGAATACAATATATGCATTAATGGGTAAAATCGTAACTCTGCTTATTTTCTCTGGTTTTCTTTTTTATTAACCTGGATATCCAACATGCTATGTACGGGTGCTTAAAAAACCCGATCAACCCAAAGCAAAATAACTTAACTTGAATCAACTCGATGTCTAATCGAGTTGTAAAAATTTTAAACCATAGATATTGGGTTGATATTAGGTTACTATTATTTGAACTCAACCCAACCCGATGAACCCGATATCTTTTATTTCTTGGATTTAATATGATTGTTGAGTTTATATTAATGTATATACATTAGACTTTACACTATCACGTACGTTATTCTTATATACATATTTTCAATCTATTTTTCGTCTCTATATAACTCATTTGTATATATGTTCAATAACTGTGAGCATATATATGTAAACTGGAAAAATTAATTGAATGTGATATACGTAAGAAGTATGGATAAGTTGTATCAAATGGTTGATGAWGAAAAAGAAATTATGAGTAGAGAAATAACATATTCAAGGTTAGAAGAATATTTTTAATGTACTAAGGTATCAACTCAATCAACTCGACTAACCTGATCAACTCGTACAGTTTGAGTTGGGTTAGGTTGCATTTTGGTTTGTGTTGGGTTGGATTAAGATTTTTTCAAACCGCAAACATTGGGTTGGGTTGTTCAAATGTCTTTAACCCAATCTACCCAACCCATGAGCACCCCTACCACTATGCGAGCCGACTAATCCCAGAATGACCACCTGTTTTGTTTTGCGGATAGCTTGAAGTCACCGCATTAAACCTCCATGGCTACAAGAGGATTTTTTATTTCTCTTTGAATTTGAACATGAGACCTCCAGACATTTTTAACTTTCAGAGTCAAGCTCAAACCAATCAAAGATGATCATTATGGTTAAAATAAATTTTTGGAATTACAGAAACTAGACGTGGCGTTGTCAATTTGGTTAAAATAAATTAATGAAATATTATAAAAGTTCAATTGATCAGTCTAGAATTGTAGAAACATTGCGAATTCTTGTTCAACTACTTTTGGTGAGTACACTTATCAGCTTTTAGATGAGTTTTATTTTTTAAGCTAAACTAAAAATTTTCAATTATTTTCTATTAGTTGTGTACCCGTGCAATGCGACGGGAGCCATGAATTTTAACGATTTTGAAGTTCCATTGGTTTTATAAGATAAGATTTAACGATGATATAGGTTACACTTGGTCTTTATATATTAATACAATTTGAATAAATAAGAGTTATGATTCCAATTACAGACAATCGATGAAAAAAATTGTATGACAGTTTAAAATCCAACATATTTAAATGACTCCACAAATGTGTTCGATTTACACCAAGAGCAAAGAACCAAGAAACTTGAGTTTTAAGATAAATACTCAAAACCAATAAAGAAAACTACAAATTTGACAGATCATAAGCCATGAAAAGACCAAAAAAGATGGGTTTTAAAATGAAATTTCAACTGTTTACCCTATTTCTTGTCCAGAAACTCAGATTAAGTTTGAATTAATACATGTATATATATTTTAAAAAAACCCAAGAACATATTTATTCAGAACATATTATACAGTGCAATTTGGACACCCTAACCCCAAAATATATAGTATATATAAATAAATAACTATAAAAGTATAAATCATAAATATTAAAAATATTTTTTCACAGTATATAATATATATAATATAATTAAGTCAAAAACTATTCAATATTGGACTCATTTCGAATGTATCAATGGACGATTATAATGGTGTAACTTGTTAAAATAAAAATGTATTTTTTAAACATGTTTTAATTGATATACGATTATGTATGTTAATTTGATAAATGTTTAAAATGAAACATTTAAAAGTAAAAGACGTAAAGTAAATTAATTAACTAATTATAGGGATATAAAATGTAAATTTAAAATTATAATTCTAAAAAAATCCGTTGTGAGAGGGTGAGTGTATGTGAGAAGAGGAGAGGAGATGGTGAAAAAGTGATGTAAGGGTAGTATAAAGGGTATCTTAATTGGGCATTTAATATTTTAAGACTTTAAGACTTTTGATAAATTTGCTTAATAAGATAGTATAGATACTTAATTACATTCATATACCTTTATTTTCACTTTAAAGTTATTTCTATGAATTTTTACATATATATATATATATATATATATATATATATATATAATCACTTTCACATGTAAAAATTTGTTAAAGTTTCGGTAATGATGATAAAAATAGGTAAATAAAACTTGTTGAATGTAGATTAATGTGTATGAAGGTTCTATTTTCATGTTCACACAGAAACCTGACCTTATATATAGTGACGTTTAAGAAAAAAACTCCAAATAAATAAAAAAAAAACTATGGAATATTATAGTAACCGTTAATCTTGAATGATATACACATATGTATACAAGTAATCGAAAATGTTTCTTGGTTTTTATACACGTGTAAATATTATATATATACATGTGCATACCAGATAAATCGCTTACAAATTTTTTGTAATGCACATATATATACCGTTCAGATCAGATGAACGGTGACTGAGATATTCCTCAGTTTTTTATTTTCTTGTGATTTTCCCTTGAACCTGACCGTATAAATATATAGGATAATACAACTAATTTTAAACTGCATAGGGCAAAATGGTAACTAATGATATTTTTAATTTACATAATGCATTTGATATTGTTATATTTAAAAACAACTTTTTTTATTAACCTGGATATTCAATCTATTATGCGAGCCGACTAATCTTAGGAAAACCATTTTGCTTTGTGGGTAATCTAGATTCATCACATTTAAATCTCTGTGACCACAAGGAATTTTTGTTTCTTATTGGATTTGAACCTGAGACCTTCAGACACTTTTGACTTTTGGAGCTCAAACCAATCAAACATAGTAAAGTTTAGTACATCTTAACTAGATTATAATTGTTACATGCCGAGCGGTTTGAATATATATATATATATATATATGTGTGTGTGTGTGTGTATGTATATATATATGTGTGTGTGTGTATGTGTATATATATCGTTTAATTAGACTTGTTTTTTCATGATTTAATAGTCTCGAGTTCAAATATAATACTTGGGAGAGCCTTATGCTCGCTTAAGATCTAGCGATTCTTATAGATCAAATTTGAGCCTGTACAATTTCATTACACCTACAATCGGCAAAATTCCGTAGCTATGTTAAGATGAATTCATGTTATTGTGGGTGAAAAGGTACTTTTTATATGATGTTAGTCGAAGCATATATAATATTTTTTAAGTTCTTGCAAAATCTGTAACGTTTTAATTTGTTTATTACTAATACTATGATGACATTAAAACTATATATCAATTACTAGAATTATTCATTCATATTTAGTTCAAGAAAAAGCAATGCTTAAAAGAAGGAAATATCAAATCCTACTAGGGGTTTAAATTTGATCATAAAGAGGATAATAACTTATGATGCTTTGGTTAACAAAGCGACTGCCTTTTGGATTGGGGCTCTGTCGATCTATGAAATAATACATACTCTCACTAAATCAGATATACTAAATCCTTCGTAATCATTTGGTATGTGTAATTGTTTTCCAAGAGGATATGTCAATGTCAAATGTGTGTGTATTATATAAGAGAGACTCAAATGGAAAGGATGTGAAAATAAAAGAAGAAAAAGGTCATATCACATGTGAATAACATACAATTTTACATGTGATTACGAAACATGTCAATGCAAGGGTGATCGAGCAACCTATAGCTCGTGACTAAATTAACGTGAGTCACATGTGTTCTTACATATGATGTTACTGTAAAATCACATGTGATTTCATCTGTTTTCATGTTTTTTTATTTAATTATTATTTTTGTATGAACCTGATTTATATATATATATATATAGAGAGAGAGAGAGGGAGAGAGAGAGAGAGAGAGAGAGAGAGAGAAAAGGTTCAGGAGAAAATCTCAAAAAAATGAAAAATTGAGCAACATCCTGTTAGACGTTCATCTATGCACATGTACATATAAGTAATTGAAGTTATTTCTTGGTTTTATGCACGTGTGAATGCTATGCATCTGTGCATACCAAACAAATTGTTTACAAATTACTTATATGCACATGTACATACGATGTAGATGATTGTTTATTAGAGTCTTTCCGGTTTTTCATTTTCTTTTAAGTTTTTTTCCGAAACTTGACCCCATATATATAATATAATATGCATATATGTATAACACACTCCAGGTCCAGTCAGCCTCATTACCATCTCCATATATATAATATAATATGTATATATATTAAATTATATATAATATGTATATGTATAAATAAGTAACCCAGAACAATAGATTTTAGAAAACCTGAAAACCATATATATGTAATAATGGCTAATTCAACAAACAACGACTAAAAACTTAAACTCAAGATTTATAAATCAACGTCCATGAATCTATGATGCGTCGACATAATTTCATTTCATTTCAATTACTTTAATTGTAACTTCCTTAATAAATGCTGGAGACGTTTTTCGGCTACCTATTCTGCAACTACTTGGTGCCTCACAATATTAAATAAGCATTTCATTTATGAAATGGATTCTGTATTTTTATGGCTGCTATATCTTTAAGGGTTAAATACATGAAATAGCAACATACTTTCATAACTTTTCTTATTATAGCATTTTACTTTGGTTTTTCTTTATTACAGCAATGTACTTTCAAATTATTTTTTATTAAGACATCGCACTTTAAAAAATCTACCCATTATAGCAATGGGTAACAAGTTACCTTTTAAACTGGTTAACTCCTTGACTTTTTTTACTTGTGTGTGGCATTAATGAGATGATGTGAATGACACATCATTTTGATTACTTAATTAAAATAAAAACTTATTTCAAATTATTATTAGTGATTTTTATTTTTCATTGCTATGATTAAAAAAAAACATTTTTTTATTTTTTATTTTTTTCTTATTAAGTTGCATGCAAATTAAATATTTTATAGTAAAATATTTCTTAAATAAATATGCTACATTATTTTCGAGATATATTTTTTGTTTGTAAAAAATGTAACACTTCTTATTTTATGTTGTTCAAAAAATACATATAATTTAAAGTTCTCTCTAAAATATTAACGAAATAAATTGTGTTCTATAATTTTTTTAATATTGTTATATTAATAAATAATTCAAAAAATCGTATTAATTTAATATATTTATATATCAAGTAAAAGTTTTTTAACAAATATAATATTTTTTTGGTAAAAAAGGAACATTTTTTTGTCCTTTTTTCAAAAAACACATATTTTTAAAAAATATTAACGAGATAAGTTGTCTTCTACTAGTTTTATTAATATTGGTATATTAATGAATAATTTATAATTTTATATTTATCAAATAACATGTAAAATATCTAAATATTAAAATTAAAAATATATTGTTTAATAAGAACTAGTAGATGCTATAAGAAAATTATTTTGAAAGTACAATGTTGTAATAAGAAAGTCACATCATTATAGTACATGTGAACAGTCTACATGGATAATGAGGTGGCATGGAAACATGATATAATGGGTAAATTTAAATCAAAAGGTTACCCAATGCTATAATGTGTAAATTTTTAAAGTACAATGTTCTAATAAAAAATATTTTGAAAGTAAATTGTTGTAATAAGAAAAACTGGAAGTACAATGCTATAATAAAGAAATTTATGAAAGTAGATTGCTATTTTCTACATTTTGCCCTGTTAATTTGGTCGTTAATACAAGAATATTAGCGCCAATTCTACTTAATAGTTAACAAATTTCATTTTTCAGAGGACTTGAAAAACCTTATCCAAAAGTTGAGATTTTTATCATCTATTTATGTATTGGTTTCAATTCAACTGCAAAAACATAAGGGTGGTTCTCTTTTGTTCTGAGTTTGATTAAGTTCTTGGTGTTTCTGATCCTAATAGGCATATTTTCATTGGTTTTTCAGTTGAACAACTGGGAATAAAAGAGCTTATGCCAGCATATCTTGATCCATCCCTTGATGATAAAGGGCTTCTAACTGGTGTAAGCTTTGCATCTGGTGGCTCAGGATATGATCCAGAAACTCCCAAGATAGCGGTAATCAAATGGGCTTAATTTTCGACGTTTTCAATACTTGACACACCACATTTACGAGAAGTCAAGTAAATTGAGGGGCTGAATCTGGTTGACACACTACCCGTTAACCGAACAAAATGGAATTTGAACTTAACATTATCTTCGGTTTCATTTATGTTAATTCGAAATACCATCCTTTGTTAGTGTTCGTGATTTTAACTTTGTAGTGAACTAATATTTTGAATCAGGCCGTTTTGTCATTAGCGGACCAGCTAGACCAATTCAAAGACTACATTGAGAAGCTCAGGCGTATAGTTGGAGACGAAAGAACACAATACATTTTAGCAAATAGCTTATTCTTGGTGGTTGCAGGTAGCGACGATCTTGCTAACACTTACTTCACTATTGGCATAAGGAGATTACAATATGACATCCCTTCCTACACTAATCTCATGGTATCATCAGCTTCCAACTTCATAAAGGTATATTGTTTCATTTCTGCCTTTTATGGTTTTTGCTACAATTGTTATGATTGTATGTCTTGCAAGATTTGAAACTGTGACCTCAATGTGGCTTAAGGTTTTCTAGGACCAAAGACCACATTGGAAAACATGCATGAGTCGATCGTTTGATGTAATATTGTGTTATGGAGCCATTATTAACGCCTTTAAATTACAATGAAGGATATATACAAACTTGGAGCACGAAGAATAGGGGTCTTCAATGCACCTCCAATAGGCTGTTTGCCATCACAAAGAACTCTTGGTGGCAATGGGCTTAGAATGTGTGCAGAAGAGTACAACAAAGCAGCACAATTATATAACAGCAAGTTGCAACCAGAGCTTAAACATCTTAATAGCACTCTTGCTCAATCCAGGATCGTCAATATTGACATATACCGACCCTTGCTTGCTATTATCGAAAACCCTCTCCAATATGGTACTTGATACACGTTTAACTTTGTTGGCCATAGTCATTTTTTTTAGGTTTAATTCTTAATTGTTGTCTAACAAGTTCACTCTCTCATACTTCAGGACTAGAAGTTGTGGATAGAGGTTGTTGTGGCACAGGAAACATAGAGGTTGCCATTCTATGTAACCAATTGCTGCCAACATGTCTTGATGATTCAAAATACCTTTTTTGGGACAGTTATCACCCTACAGAAAAAGGATACAACATCCTCATAAATCAAGTGGTAGGGGAATACCTTAGTGATTTCTTTTGAGTTCATATAGAGGTTGATAAATATTCGTACTACACAAGTTTGGATGAGTTATAATAGTTTCTGAGCAAGCTCGATCGCTTCCTGAAATGTGAGAAATGATAGGAAGTGACTCATCAATGAGGTTTTCAATACGTCTCGGTTGATGTATATTTCGTGTAAACCTCTTTGTGTACCATTTTATATATCAATAAGAGTTGATCTCAACTGTTAGCTTGAACTTGATCAAAGGAGATGATTTGGATAGCCTAGCTAGAGTCTTGCACAGTATTGTGTATTTGGATATCAAACAAGATTATCGTTTGGCATTGGCAAGCACGACACACGTAACACTTGATTACGTACACATAGATGTATGGTACACGCTAATACTCGATTTCGTGATGGGATTTGGTTTCTTGTTTATATCCAAACAATGTATTTCGTAGTTGCATTTGTGGTGTATATTTCCTACACTCTAGTTCAATCAACAAAACTCCGATTATAAGTTTGGGATCTAGGATAAGAAATTTTGTGTCCCACTTTGTGATGGAGCAACAAATGAATTCCTGAGGTACGTATAATTTAGTGCAATCAACAACAATCCGATTGCGTTTTGTCTAATGTGTCTTTCTTAAACTCAATCTTCTTTGTTGATAGATAACAATTTTTATTTTTTTTGCATGCCGCATCAGGGACGGATCTCACCTTGTCGCTAATCCATCACAAAAGCTCACATCTTAATCCATCGTTGATCCGTCGCTGAAAGTTCGTCGGCCAAAGAATGGTGGATGATGATATCAGTGACGGAATTTAGCGACGGATCAGCGACGAATACTATCAGGGACGGATTAGCGATGTGTTCTTTTTGCGATGGATCAGTGAAAAGAACATTTAGCAATGGTTTAGCGGTGGAAACTTTTAGCAATAGATTAATGATGTGACCTTTTAGCAACGAATTAGCGAGGAACTTTTAGTGATGGATTAGCAACGGCCCCACCAACTTTTGGCGATGGTTTTCCGTCATTAATCCGTCGCTATTTATTTAATTGAAAAAAAAATAATTAAAATTTTGTATTTCTTGTATATTTTATACAAAACATACTTATATATTTAAAATAACAAACCGAAACTGCCAACAAAATAAAAATTAACTAATTCATACACTTTAAAATACTAAATTGATACAATTCAAATAATGTCCGGAGTAGGTAACAATTTAAGCAAGGGGAAGGCCGGACTGTATTGGACCTTAATGTGCTTTAGTGGTTCTTAATGAATTGTATTGGGCTTTTTATGGGCTTAAGTGACTCTTAAATAACTCAACTAGGTTTGTATTGGGTTTTGATGAGTTGTATTGGGTTTGTAATGGATTTCACGGATTTCACTGAAATTGATTGGGCCTTGATAGGTCGTATTAGACTTAATAGTTGTTAATGTACTGTATTGGGCCTAAATTACTTTCAACGGCTATTAATAAATTGTACTAGTCCTTGATTGATTGTCTTGGATGGTAACAAACTGTATTGGACCTTGATAGGTCGTAATCGACTTAATAGGCCTAAGTGACTCTTAATGAATGTACTGGGCCATTTTTTGGGCTTAATTAAGGACTCTTAAGAGCAACTCCAACCTTCACAAAAAAAAAAAAACCAAAAACACCAAATATGGTGGGCTCATAAACAATAAAAAAAACTCAACTCCAATCACACTCTAAAAAAACACCAAATTTGTAGACCCCGCATTAAAATAACATATTTTATTTACTATTTTTAATAACAATATTTATAATTTGTAATAGTATTATAATAATAAATAATTAGTAATTAATTTATTTAATGAAGAAATGTTAAAATAAAAAGGATAAAATTTTAATTAATAAATTTTATATTTAAAAAGATTAAATTAGTTCAAATAGCACAAATAAAAAAAAAACACATAAATAATACTAATTATCCGAGTTAGTATACTACGTTTACGTTTATCCGGTATCATATTTGTGTTATTAATAATTTATATATATATATATATATAATTACATAATAAATATAAAAACCTAAAAATTAATATTTGTAATTATTTATTTATAATTTATTAAAACAAATTATTTATTTAGGAAATGGTGGTGGGGACCACCCTTTTGGTGTGAAGGTCTCCCACGGCAAATATGCCGTTCTAAATTCTTCACCGGCAAAGTTTTACCGTTTTCACCAGTCGGTTGGATCCAAAAGAACGGCAAAACTAGGGTTTTGCCGTTCGATTGGAGTTGCTCTAATGAACTATCTATTTGTCTTGGATTTTACCAAAATTTGTTTTGAATTTTTTTTACTATCAAATATAACTAGATCTGTAGCAAATCCGTGGCAAATCTAAATATATTTGTTTCCGATTTACTACGGATTTTATCAAGACTTGTTCTATTTTTTTTTACCATCGAATGTAACTAAATCCGTAGCAAATCCATGGCAAATCTAATATATTTGCCACGAACTTGCTATAAATTTTATCAAGATTTTTATTTTATTTTTCAACACCGAATATAATTATATCCGTGGCAATAGTCATGGATTTGCTACGAATTTTATCAAGACTTGTTCTATTTTTTTATTATCGAATATAACTAAATCCGAATGTGCCACGTTGCAAATCTACATATATTTGCCACAGATCTGTTACGGATTTTATCAAGAGTTGTTTTTATTTTTTTAATATCGAATATAATTAAACCTGTGGCAAATCTAAATATATTTGTCTCGGATTAACTACGAATTTTATCAAGATTTGTTCTATTTTTTAAATATCGAATATAACTAGATCCATAGCAAATCTGTGGAAAATGTAGTTTTTTTATTAGTTAGAGATGGATTTGCTGCGCCTAGTTAAATTTTTTTATATTTACTTAAAATATAAATGTTTTCTTTCTCCATCGCTAATCCCTAGCAAATACGTACATTTTGCCATGGATTAGTGACGGATCATACATCTGTCGCAAATTAGTGATGCATCGGTCCGTAGCAAATAATTGGTAGTTGAAGCCAAACTCTCTAGTATATTTATGTTAACAATTTTTATTTTTTTATTCGTATTTTCCATATCTTTTTGTAACAATTTAAATATTTATTTTTTTAACAATTTAAATACTTAATTTTTATTCATATTTTCAAGATTATTTTTCCAAGTTTCATGTTCGTGTTTCATTTTTTTCCAATTTCATATTTCATGTTTTATATTCTACTGTTACATGGCTTCTGAATGAAAAAACTCATAATTTCATGGTTTCATAAATTGAAAAAGTGATGATTTCATGGTTTTATTAATGAAAACCTGATGATTTCATAGTGGAAGATAGGGGTGTGCAGAAAATTCAACCGAACCAACTAGAATCAACAAACCATAAATGGATATCCAATCATAATTGGATCGGATCAGATTGGAATTTTCAACATCCAATTTAGATCGATCGGTTCTTGGATGGTAGTCCAAAACCAACTGAACTGAATCGACTACCATCCAGTTATCCATCCGATTAACCATCAGATAACGATGCAATTATCCATCCAATTAACCATTCCATTACCATCCAGTTATCCATCCAACCATCATCTAATTAATTTGTTTTAAATTTGCTTAAACCAGAATTTGTGTTGTGTTGGTTTTTGAATTTTCTAGCCAAGCCTGTGTTGGTTATAACACGTACTAAAAGTGTTAATCAATTTGTTTCATTGTTGGAAGATTGGATTGAATTAAAATATTGGATGAATCTGATCTGATCATCCATTGGATGTCAAATAAATCCAATATGATCTCATAGATATCCAATGGATGGAACTGAACTTAACCATCATCCATTGGATTAGACTGAGTCGGTTGTCTAATGTTAATCGGATCATACCGTTTGGCAAAATCCAACATCCAGTAGATGATTGGATCGATTGGGTCCCCTCAAATCCGATGGATGTCAATCAAGTCTAATGGAAAATTATGGTTCCATGAATGAAAAAACTCATAATTTTAATGGTTCATGATATCATAGTTTCATGATTCTGTGAATGAAAATTTTCTAAAAATATGATTTTTTATAGAACTTAAAATTTGAAATCCTGAAATTCCTGAAAAAAATTGCAAATAAAAAACATCCGATTTTTAATAATTATCAAAAAAATAAAAAAAAAAAATAATTCCCAAAATTATATGATATTGATATTTTTCTTGATTAATATGTATATTCCATAATTACATGCTTACCCTTATTTATAAAATTAAAAATAAAAATAAATAATTCGTTGAAATATTTTTGCATGATTTGTATAAATAGGGGTGGTTTGCTAAAGATTGCTCCCTATATATATGTGTGTGTGTGTGTAGAGAGAGAGAGAGGGGGGAAATATCATGCGAGAAATTAAACATTTTTTACGAAAAGACGAGAAATGTGGATATTATATGTGATTAAACTTCTTTGGTAGTGTTTAATCATATTTGATTAAATATCTATATGTTATTAATGCAACATGTGTTTAATCATATATGATTCAACTTGTGTGTCATGCGTGTAATCATATATTATACTGAAACTTCTCAACTTCTTGCAATATGTTTAACCTCTCGTTTGAATCTTCCCTATATATACATAGTATATAACTTTCTTATGTATTTAAAACTTAAATGTTATTTTAAGCAACTCCGATTCTATATCACCAAAGTTCGAAGATTAAATATCAATACCAATTCATTTCTTATAATTTTTTTTAACGATTTAAAATATTGCATTACAAATGCATCATAAATTAACACACATATCACTTCTATTGATTAATTCAATACACAAAATTAAAATGATAGAACCCGTAAACAAGCTATAAGATATTAAATTGTACACGTTGTTTCTAATTTTTGAGAACTATTAGCAACATGATTGCGATATACACCAAATGTGTTTAAATGCATTTCACATCAATTGCTAAAACTATCAACGATTCGTGGTCGCGTTTAATTGCTATTTAAATGAAATAATTCATCAATAATTTAGAAATCGTACTGTTCGTTTTTTTAAGTTTTGAAAAGGGTAAGAATAGAAATAAGCAAAAGAAAAAAAAAACTAGTATGCTTCGTCTACGGTGATCAATAGTTTTTTCATCTGATCTAAGGAATTAAGTAGACATCCCTAGTTTGATACTTTCGAAATCATATAGGCTCAAATCAGTGTGTATCGCCATCTCTTGTTGTTTTGAA